ATTATTATTATTGTTATTATTAGCTTGGTCCTACAGAGACAAGAAATGAGGATTGAAGCTCCCAAGAAATAGGGGAAGAAAAGCATGAATGGGTCGAGAGGAAGGAGAAGATGAGAACATGGTGGTTGGGGAAGAGAAATATGACAGCTCAGTCATAGGTATGGAGCGAAGTATGACAATGAAATTTGGCCTTCAGGTCTTCTAAAGTTGTCATATGAGTCATGGCTTACATACTTACGACTGAGCTGTCACGCTTCTCTTTGGCAACCACAACTTTCTCGTCGCCTCCTTCCTCTGAACCCGTTCACTCTTTTCTTCCCATATTTATTTTGGGATATTTTAGAGTAGAATCTGAAGACCAAATTTCACGTATGAAATTGTGGAGGGATGTGGTGGAAAGGAAAGCTCGTTAGGAGAACAAGATAGTAGACGGTTTCCTGTTTGAGCTGGGGGTTGGACTAGAAGACCTCCAAGGTCCCTTCCCACAATGTTATTCTGTTGGTATAAATCAGGGGGTGTCTGACCTCGGCCAGTTTAAGACTTGTGGACTTCAACTCCCAGAAGTTGGTTGGCTGGGGAATTCTGGGCGTTGAAGTCCACAGTTGCCAAAGTCGGACATCCCTGGTGTAAACTGAAATTACTCCTGGTGTAAACTGAAATTCGTTGAAGTCCATAGATCTTAAAGTTGCCAAGGTTGGACCCTCCTGGTGTAAACTGAAATTAGCTGAAATCTATTCTTTTTCTTATTTCAGGTCTTAATTTCTTTGACTTACTATTTCTTACTTCTTTTCTGGCTTGGCAGAAGAATCCAGACGTTCATGTGTTGCTTACTGGGTATGAAAAATAATTGTTGCCCTGGTGTCGTTATTTCCCCTCCTTCTTGTCAGATCACAGAGCTCTCCAAAGAGGTCTTCAAACTGAAAGAAGCTCTGAAGGATCTTTCCGAGTTTTCTAGTGGTGCTTCTCCTAAAGGGATCTTCTCACCAAAGGCAGACAGTGATCTGGACGTAGCTACCTTCCAGAGCAGAATTAAAGATCTGGAGCAACAATTGGTTGTGAGTATCTTACAAAGGAAGGAGAATTAAGGAGAAACTCTAAAGGTTGTATTAGGAGGGTCCCTCAAGCCTAACTGCCTGGTTTCTTCCATCTGAGATGGATCGGGTGTTCCTCAGAAAATGAACAAGGAGTGATGTATTGGTAACACCACATTTGGAATAGCAATAGCACTTATATACCGCTTCACAGTGCTTTACAGCCCTCTCTAAGCAGAGTCAGCTTATTGTCCCCAACAATTTGGGTCCTCATTTTACCGACCTCGGAAGGACGGAAGGCTGAGTCAACCATGAGCCTGGTGAGACTCGAACTGCTGGCAGCCGGAAGTCAGCAGAAGTAGCCTGCAGTCCTGCATTCTAATCACTGTGCCACCGCGGAGATGTTTGTGACCGCAGTGAACTCCACTTGAAATAACCTTAGCTGAGCCATTTCTGTTATTTTATTTTATTTTTAATTATTTACTTCTTTGTTTTCATTCTCTTTCGTACTAGGAATCTGAGCGACGCCATAGCAATATCATCTCTTTATACAGAGGACACCTTCTCTACGCTATCCAGGTGAGTCGTCCAGGTCTTCGTTCCTGACAGTGAGTTAGAAATATGAGGGTGAAGGTTCGTTCTCCGAGCTTCTGGGTTGGTTTCTGTCGTGATTCCATGCCAGCCTGTGATCCCAGTAGTTGAGTCTGGGGAATCAGAGGAGGAGGAGGAGGGGCCAGGAGAGCCATCAGAGTCGGAGGGAGGCTCTGATGAGCTGCAGGACTTACAAACTAATGAAGAGGCTGGTCCTTCCACTCATGATCACGCTGAGAGCCAGCTGTGTTGGGAAGCTGAGTCAGACTCAGAGGAAGCACAGCTGGAAGACCTCAGAGACGTTTGTAAATGTAGACAGGTCACACGAGTAGGACAGAGGGAGGCAATGGGGCGACTCCAGGGGAAGAGGAGAAAGCAGTGAGAAGCCAGGCCTTGGGGGCTGCGTAACAAAAAGGGAATGTGTGGGCAGGGCCAGTTGCTGGAGGCAACCGTTTGCAAAGAATTTCAGAGTCAAGAGATCATGGTCTGTTTATTTTTGCTTGTGAGTTATTTCCTGTTTGACTCGTGCTCCGTGTTGCTTTTGGGCAAGGTCTCCATTGGAAAAGTGTTCTGTTGCTTTTGTTTTTCTGGGACAATTATCAGGTCTGTAACTCAAATAAAAAGGGTTTATTTTCCAGTCTACTGTTACAAGAGGGGTTGTCTTTGTGAAGTAACAAGGACGTACGTAGGCTGGGACAGAACAGTTTCCGAATGTTTCACTACCAGGCTAGGGAACCTAATTAGTAATATTTCATCGGGGGTGGGAAAAGAGGAATCTGGAATATGTTTGCAGGGACCCAGAGTTGGGATGAGGAGGGGGCTAAGAGCAGAGGTCCCCAACCTTTTGGGCACCAGGGACCAGTTCCGTGGAGAGAGGTTTTTCCGTGGACCGGAGGAAGCGTAGTTTTGCATGCTGCTCCGCTTGGTTGCGCGGATCTGTTTTTGGCATGCTGCAACCCAGTGCTGGTGTATGGTCTGGGGGTTGGGGACCTCCGGACTAGAGGACTGAACTGCTGTTTGAGTGTGGAGACACAGCTAGTGGCATGGACCCAATGTCAACAGTCCGACAAGTGAATTCAACACTGAGGAAAAACTCTACGGCTGTGATGACCCAGGGCACAGCACAAAGGCAACGCAGACAGCTGGCAGTGTAAACAGTTCTTTAATGGTTGCAAATGTCCTCCAAATGCTCCCACATTTGCTGGCAAGCCTCCAACCCAAATACGCACACACACCTTCCAGCCGACAGCCGTTTCCATACAGCCTGATTAATATACGAATGTCCTCAAGGCCATAAAGATAACAAAACCAAACAAAACATCAACTTAATGAGTCTGCTTGAATCTCAGCTTGCCAGCACCCTTTGCAAAGAGAAAAGTCAAAATGCAGTCTGAGTTCGTAATTCAGGAAATCCACGTGGTCAGCCGGGTCCCGTCCGTCAAGGTGTCCAGGTTTTCCAACAAAGGCACAGAACAAGAGCAACAATATACAACTTTCCCAAGATTCAATGTTTGTTCCCGACAAAGTCCCCACCCCACAGCGGGCTCCTTATATCTCAATCCCCAGGTGTGCCTTGTGGGATGGGGCGGGACGCTTTCCTCCCGAGTAAGTGAGCTTGCCTGCGTTGTTCCCTCCTCCTCTCCACTGTCCTAGCTCTAGGATCAGGTGGGGGTGGGCCTTGCTCCTCGCCCGAACTCTGTCTCCCCTCTTCCAAACCTGAAGGGCCCTGGCCTGCCTCAGCCTGCTCCTCCCCACAGACCTCCGAAGCCACAGACACCCCCTCCTGGGCCTTCACAGGGTCCTGTTCCGGCTCCATTTCCTCTTCCGATTCAAGCTCAGACGGAGGCATGACAACGGCTTTGAGATCTGGATGAGGGGATAGATGGGGAACTCATCAAATTTGCAGATGACACCAAGCTGGCAGGAATAGCCAACACTCCAGAAGACAGGCTTAGGATACAGGAGGACCTGGACAGACTTGAACACTGAGCGCTATCTAACAAAATGAAATTCAATGGTGAAAAAAGTAAGGTTCTACATTTAGGCAAGAAAAACCAAATGCAGAGGTATAGTATAGGGGGTACCTTGCTCAATAGTAGTAACTGTGAGAGGGACCTCGGAGTCCTAGTGGACAATCACTTAAATATGAACCAGCCGTGTGCTGCAGTTGCCAAAAACGCCAACACAGTGCTAGGCTGCATTAACAGAGGGATAGACTCAAGATCACGTGAAGTATTAATACCAGTTTACAAGGCCTTGGTAAGGCCACACTTGGAATACTGCATCCAGTTTTGGTCACCACGATGTAAAAAAGATGCTGAGACTCTAGAAAGAGTGCAGAGAAGAGCAACAAAGATGATTAGGGGACTGGAGGCTAAAATATATAAGGAACGGTTGCTGGAATTTGGGATGTCTAGTTTAATGAAGAGAAGGACGAGGGGGGACATGATAGCAGTCTTCCAATATCTCAGGGGCTGCCACAAAGAACAGAGAGTCAGGTTACTCTCCAGAGCACCTGAAGGCAGGACAAGAAGCAACAGATGGAAACTCATCAAGGAGAGAAGCAACCTAGAACTAAGGAGAAACTTCCTGACAGTGAGAACAATTAACCAGTGGAACAACCTGCCTCCAGAAGCAGTGAAAGCTCCAACACTGGAAGTTTTTAACAAGAAACTGGACAGCCATTTGTCCAAAATGGTATAGGGTTACCTGCCTGAGCAGGGGGTTGGACTAAATGACCTCCAAGGTCCCTTCCAATTTTTTTTTTTTAATTATTATTATTATTATTATTATTATTATTATTATTATTATTATTATTATTATTATTATCATTATCATTATCATTATCATTATCATCATCATCATCATCATCATTATTACTATTATTATTATTACTAATTATTATTATTATTATTACGGCTTTGAGGTGCCATAAAAGATAAACTTTATTGAATACACACCTCAGTACTGAAGAAGCAAAATCAGCTCTAAGTGTCCTGCTCGGAAATCTGGTTAGTCAACAATCGCTCTTCTTAACCCCCACCCACCAAGTCTTCACGTTGGTCAGTCGTATTTCTTTGGTTTGTTATGAGAACAGACCACTTCCCCGTCAAACACCTGGTTTTGTGACCTTGGTTCCCATGGTACATAGATGGCTGCTTAAAACCCCGTTTCTCCTAGGCTTCCCCTTTCTTCTGTTTCTATGGCAAATTGCATGTCTGAATCTGAGGGTGTGCACAGGGGCTGCCTGAACATCTACTTGGAGGTCTGTGTGCGTTTGCGTGGATACGTGCACGCACGCACGCACACCCATGTTTGTTCCAAAGCTGCTTTTGGCCTTGGGAGCGGAACAGCTGCCCATCCCTCATAAGTAACACATCCAACTTAGCTAAAGGGTCCTGTTCCAACAATACAATTTTGCATCAGGAATTAGCTACTCTTCGTGCTAGAGCACACAGGTGGTCCTCCACGTACGACCACATTTGAGCCCAAAATTTATGTGGCTGAGAAATTTGCTAAGTGAGTTTTGCCCCATTTTACGACTTTACTCGCCCCCTTTGTGGAGTGAATCACTGCGGTTGTTAAACAAGTACCTTGCTCAATAGTAGGGGGTACCTTGAGCAACAAAGATGATTAGGGGACTGGAGGCTAAAACATATAAGGAACGGCTGCTGGAATTGGGTATGTCTAGTTTAATGAAGAGAAGGACGAGGGGGGACATGATAGCAGGGTTCCAATATCTCAGGGGTTGCCATAAAAAAGAGGGAGTCAAGCTATTCTCCAAAGGGCCTGAAGGCAGGACAAGAAGCAACAGATGGGAACTCATCAAGGAGAGAAGCAACCTAGAACTAAGGAGAAACTTCCTGACAGTTAGAACAATTAACCAGTGGAACAACCTGCCTCCAGAAGCGGTGAATGCTCCAACACTGGAAGTCTTTAAGAAGAGATTGGACAGCCATTTGTCCGAAATGGTATAGGGTTTCCTGCCTGAGCAGGGGGTTGGACTTGATGACCTCCAATGTCCCTTCCAACTTTATTATTATTATTATTATTATTATTATTATTATTATTATTATTATTATTATTATTATTATTATTATTATTATTATTATTATTATTATATAACACAGCTGTTAAGTGACTCTGACTTCCCCATGGACTTTGCTCGTCAAAAGGTTGCAAAAGGAGATCACATGACCGTCATAAGTGTGAGTCAGTTGTCAAGCACTCGAAGGTAAATAACGTGGCCACAGGGATGCTGCAACGGTCGTAAGTGTGAAAACTGGTCATAAGTCACTTTTTTCCAGTGCCGAACGGTCACTAAACGAACGGTTGTAAGTTCAAGGACTGCTTGTATGGCAGTATTTCGATTTATTTTGACTTTTTCATAGAGCCACCTTAGGACTAAAACTAGGCAGGCCGATGTCCAACTGGTCAGCATAAGAACCTCTGAGCAAGAGAGCGCATTCCAGGTTCAATTCCCTATGGAGTCTCCTGGAATACATTCTTTTTTTTTTTCTTTTCTTTTTTGAACAAGTTTTATTCTCCTGGAATACTTTCTTATCTTTCCAGCCAGACTTAAAGTATGGAAAGGAACAACAACAACAACAAAAAGTGCTTTCGCAGTCCTTTAGAACCATGTTTCTCAATCTTGGCAATTTTAAAGATATCTGGACTTCAACTGCCAGAATTCCCCAGCCCGCAAAGCCACAATCACAAAAAAACTATTCAAAAGAACTTAAAGATTTTTGTACGTTATTGAATTATTGACTAACTCAGCCGCCACGTTGCTTTTTAAATGCTTAAATGTAAAATTAGAAAATCAATCAAAGAGGGAGTCAAGCTATTTTCCAAGGCGCCTGAAGGCAGGACAAGAAGCAACAGATGGAAACTCACCAAGGAGAGAAGCAACCTGGAACTAAGGAGAAACTTCCTGACAGTGAGAACAATTAACCAGTGGAACAACCTGCCTCCAGAAGCGGTGAATGCGCCAACACTGGAAGTTTCTAAGAAGAGACTGGACAGCCATTTGTCCGAAGTGGTACAGGGTTTCCTGCCTGAGCAGGGGGTTGGACTAGATGACCTCCAAAGTCCCTTCCAACTTTATTATTATTATTATTATTATTATTATTATTATTATTATTATTATTATTATTATTATTATTATTATTATTACTATTATATTAGAAAAAAAGAAGAAGTTAAATCAATTAACCAGAAAATGCGGGTAGTGCTTACCAGTGACTTACGAACAATGCAGCCATCTCACTGGCTTCATCCCGCTGTGAGGTTCCCGTGACTGGTGCAAAACGAGGTCTTCAGTGTTGTCTGAGAAGCTAGAAGCATCAGGGCCAATCTAACCTCCGAGGGGACGATGTCCCAGGCGTGTGGGCGAGAAGGCTGTCTTCCTTGGTCCTGTCAGATGAACAGGACGGGACCCGTAACACACCTCTTCTGCCAGACCTGATGGGATGAGTAGAGATAACTGGAGAGGAGGTATCTCAGATGATCCAGCCCCACGCCACGTAGGTCCTTATAGGTCATAACCTGCAGCAGGAATTGAACACCAGAAGCTGACTGGCAACCAAGGCAGCTTATGGAGGAGAGAGGCCATGAGGGGTCCCTGGTGCTCTCTGCAGACGTTTCATTACCCAACTAGGTAACATTATCAGTGCTAGAAGGGAATGGAGTTTGTAGAGAAAAGGAGGGAGGGAGAGAGGGAGGGAGGGAGGGAGGGAGGAAGGAAAGAGAATTTTGGTGCTCTCTGAGCTAGCTTGTTTTCTTGCAGACGTTTCATTACCCAACTAGGTAACATTATCAGTGCTAGAAGGGAGTGGAGTTTGTAGAGAAGAGGAGGGAGGGAGGGAGGGAGGAAGGAAGGAGAATCTTGGTGCTCTCTGAGCTGGCTTGTTTTCTTGCAGATGTTTCATTACCCAACTAGGTAATATCATCAGTGCTAGAAGAGTGTGCGGTTTCTGGAGAGGAGGAGGAGGGGAAGGGGGAAGAGGAGGACTGTGGGGTCCTTAGTGCTCTCGGAACTTGGTAATTTTCTTGCAGACATTTCATGAGCCAACTAGGTAACATCATCAGTGCTAGAAAGGAATGGAGTTTGTGGGGCTTGTGGAGGAGGAGGAGAGGACGAGGACTGTGGGGTCCCTGGTGCTCTCTGAACTTGGTGGTTTTCTTGCAGACATTTCATGACCCCACTAGGTAACATCATGAGTGCTTGAAGGGAGTGAGTTTTGGGAAGAGGAGGAGGTGGTGGTACTGGGGGGTCCCTGGTGCTCCCTGAGCATGGTGGTTTTCTTGCAGACATTTCATGACCCCACTAGGCAACATCATCAGTCCTAGGGTGACTAGCACTAACGACGTCACCCAGTTTGCCTAATGAAACGCCTGCAAGAAAAGCACCAAGCTCAAGAGAGCACCCAGGACCTCATTTCAACCCTGGGCTACACATATTCTCCTTTATCGGAGAGATCGTGACCGCCGATCTCGTAGGGATTCCCCCGAGCGCAACCAGTCTCCTTGAACAGTGAGATTACAGATCTGTTGGTGGACCCTCCGTCCTCACGTAGGGACAAAGGCAGAAGCCCTGCCAGCCAAAAACGCTTGGTTAAATTGCTGAGGAACATCTCCAGATGTTCACGATCTCTCTTTCCTCTCCCCCCCCCCTTTTCTGCTCCTTTCAGGGCAACATGGATGAAGACGTGCAAAAAATCCTCTTCCAGATTTTGAAGATGCAAAGGCTCCAGGAACAAGGCAGATGAGACAAGGCGGCGGGTTCGCAGACTCGAACCCGGGGTGGGGTGGGCAGGCTGGGCAATTTCCTTGGGGGAACGAGGACTACGAAGGCCACACCGACCGTGAGCCCGGAAGCGAGCAAGACCGGCGGGCACCCAAACGCCTTTGAATTGCTTCACAGCGGGCGGGAAATCCTTGCGCTTCGCCTCGGCGTGTGTCCACGATGGCCAAAGCACTCCCGGTTGAATTTCTGCCTGCCATTACAATGTTAAAGGCTACAGGGTCATTGCGGGGCGGTGGGGGGGGAAATGAGTAGATGACAGACCTAGAGCGAGACAAGGGCATGACCCATAGTGGTTAGATGTTTATTTCCACTGTGTCTAATGGCAACAAAATACCCTCTAGGTCCTTATTCTTCCTCACTGGAGGATCTCAGGCCGTTCGGTCTCTCGGATCACAGACTACCTGCAGGGTTGTCGTTTTGGTAAAACGGGGGGTGGGGGGTGGGGAAATAGGTAGCTTTGAGTTCTGTACCAGGGTGTCAGTGTGTGAGTGTACGTTAAAGAGTTGAGTTGTGGGAGGGGAAGGTCACATCTGCAAAATCGAAGCCGCGTCTTCTTTTTAACGTGTTTTGCAACACGTGCAGGAAAGGAGCGGGACCACCATCTTGACTTTTTTGCCCTCCCCTGACCTCCCAGCTTTGCAGAGAAGCAGTGAAATGCAGTATTTTTTAAAAAAAAACAGGAAAGGACAAAATTAATTACAGGTAATCCTCGACTTTACATTTAGTGACCATTCAAAGTCACAACAGCAGTGAAAAAAATGAGACTTGAGACCTGTTTTTCACACTATTGCAGCATAGCCCCGCGGTTCACGTGATCAAAATTCAGGCACCTGGCAATTGACTCGTATTAACGACGGCCGCAGTGTCCCCTTTTTGTGACTTTCTGACAAGCAAAGTCAATGGAGACATTCACTTAACAACTGTGTCACTAACTTAACAATTGCAGCGATTCGCTTAACAGCTGCTATGGCAAGGAAGGTCATAAAATGGGACCAAGCTCATTTAACAACTGTCTTGCTTAGCAACAGAAATCCTGGGCTCAATTTTGGTCGTACGTTGAGGACTACCTGTATTGGGAGTCTGGGATCTGAGAGCAAGTGACTTGTCTCTGCTGAAATTTGACAGGGTGTGAAAAAAAACAACAACCCACAACCAATCAAGATGTTACATTAGGCCAGGGGTAGACCACCTTGGCTCTTTTATGACTCGTGGACTTCAACTCCCAGAATTCCTGAGCCAGCCATGCTGAGGGGAAAGGGAGAGTTTCCAAGCTGAGCCATGCTGGCTCAGGAATTCTGGGAGTTGAAGTCCACGAGTCATAAAGTGGCCTAGGCCTAGGCCAGGGGTAGGCAACCTTGGCTCTTTTATAACTCATGGACTTCAACTCCCAGAATTCCTGAGCCGGCATGGCCGGCTCAGCTTGGAAACCTCTCCCTTTCCCCTCAGTGTGGCTGGCTCAGGAATTCTGGGAGCTGGAGTCCACACGTCTTAAAGTTGCTGAGGTGGAGAAACAATGGACTAGGCCAGGGGTAGGCAACCTGGGCTCTTTTATAACTCATGGACTTCAACTCCCAGAATTCCTGAGCCAGCCATGCTGAGGGGAAAGGTAGAGGTTTCCAAGCTGAGCCAGGCTGGCTCAGGAATTCTGGGAGTTGAAGTCCACGAGTCATGAAGGGGCCAAAGTTTCCCTCATGCTGGCTCAGGAATTCTGGGAGTTGAAGCCCACACATCATAAAAGAGCCAAGGTTGCCTACCCCTGCCTTAGGCAAATGAGCAAATAGTTTCAATTCTTAACAATTAATCACTGCTAATTGTTTAATAGTGAAAATGACTGGGATGAAATGCCCAAAGCTGGGAAAACTTTTTACTAGCCAGGGGAAAAAAAAAACACAGTTGTAGTCTTCCATAATATTAGCATGCACTTGAAAATGTACCTTGGTGGCTTAACACTTGAGTCAAGGTGTCAACAAGGATAGGGCTGCAAATAAGATTTCCAGTGAAATTATGCAACAGCCTTTCCCCGTGACTTTGAATGAATTGTAGTCATCCGTGCTGAAAAGTAAAAAGAATTTCTTCCTGTGCTGGGCAGAGAGTTAGATATTGTCCAGGCTTCCTTTCGTTCTGTGTCTGAGAGAAGCAACCTGGAACTAAGGAGAAACTTCCTGACAATTAGAACAATTGACCAGTGGAACCACCTGCCTCCAGAAGCGCTGAATGCTTCAACACTGGAAGTTTTTAAGAAGACTTTTTAAGAAGTCCAAAATGGTATAGGGTTTCCTGCCTGAGCAGGGGGTTGGACTCGATGACCTCCAAGGTCCCTTCCAACTTTATCATTATTATTATTAAGAGACTGGACAGCCATTTCTCCGAAATGATATAGGATTTCCTGCCTGAGCAGGGGGTTGGACTTGATGACCTCCAAGGTCCCTTCCAACTAATAATAATAATAATAATAATAATAATAATAATAATAATAATAATAATAATAATAATAATAATAATAATAATAATAATAATACAAGATGTCAGCCACAATCCAGGTAAACTTCGACTTACAAGAGTCGGAGAATTGGTGAGAATCGGTGGCTCGGAAATTTTGCAAGGGGCTCAATCGACTTTTGACTCCTGTAGTATTTCGCAACAGGGTCGTTTGATCCGTGACCCTGTTGCGAAATATGTCAGAAGTTTGCCACAGGGTTAAAAAAAAAAACCTGATCCTGCAGGGCTGAGTTTTCTTTCTCTGAAGCTTAAAAATCAAATTAGCTGGGCCCTGGAGCAAGCCTGCTTGAGCGGGAATCTCCCCTTCGTTTCTGGGGCTTCTGAGCGTCCCACCCCATTTCTCCCTTCCTTTCTTCGGCTTCCGAGCTCCAGCTGATTTGAGCCATTTCCGTTGGGTGGATGAAGGTACCCAGGTATCCAGCGGGATAAGTGGGTCAGAGTCCTGGAGCATCCCTGCACTCGGTCGTAAAAGTGAGTGACGGCAGCTGTCGTAACTTTGAAACCGAGTTGCACGTAGCCTTTGGGAAGGTGGTTGTAACTTCAAACGGTCACTAAGCGCCCTGTTGTAGGTCGAGGACTACCCGTATTCAGAAGATAGAATAATATAATAACGATATAGAATCACAGAGTTGGAAGGGATCTTGGAGGTCCTCTAGTACAGGGCTTTTCAACCTTTTCACCCATTGTACCACTTTTAGGATAGGGCAACATCCGAGTACCACCAGTCGCCTAGCAAGGTGTCAAAAACTTGATGACCCCCCCCCCCAAAAAGGAAAAAAGTGATAAAGTACAGGTAGTCCTCGACTTACAACAGTTCGCTTAGTGACTCTTCGAAGTTACAATGGCACTGAAAAAAGTGCCCCCCAAGCCACAGCCGAGCAAGACACCTGCCTGCCCACCTGGTGGCGCTCTTCCTCCTGTCCGAGGTTTTCATTGCTGTGAGCATTTCTGTTGAGGATTGGCAGTGGGGGTGGGGTGGGGGGTGTTTGGTTTTTATTCCCCCCCCCCGTCTGCTGGATGGTTGCAGCAGGTTTTGGTCCCTTCACATGACCCTGGGACACTGTGACCGTCATAAATATGAATCGGTTGCCAAGCATCTGAATGTAAATCACAAGACCCTGGAGAGGCTGCAACATTCCAGCTGATTGGTGCTTCTTCTGGGCTCAGCAGAAGCACCAGGATCAGCACCGAGCTCCAGCTGGAGCCTGGCACTGATCCTGGCGCTTCCGCTGAGCCCTGACAGCCCTGCAGCTGCAGCCGTCTCTCGCTCAGGCTTGTGCGGTGCTGCCACCGGTTGAGTTCATTCCCCTCCCCCACTACCACTTTCCTAGGATGCTCGCGTACCACCTGCCAGGTGCCAATGTACCACAGGTGGTACCCGTACCACTGGTTGAAAAGCCCTGATCTAGTACAGCCCCCTGCTCAAGCAGGAGTCTCTATGCCAGTGATGGCGAACCTTTTAGAGACCGTGTGCCCAAAAACTGGCCTGCCCCTGCTCCGCCACAGCCCACCCCCGCCCTGCCTGCCCGCAGGGCCACTCACCGCCTCCAGGGCCCGCTGCAGATTGCCCAGGCAGCCCAAAAGCGCCATGGCAGCCATGCCCTCTGCCCGTGCCCCGCAGCATCAACTGTGCTTGTCCACGCTGCCTGGCTGCCATGTCCTTGGCTGCGCTGCTCCGCGTGGGCCATGCTCGGGGGCGACTCTCCTCCAGAGGGGCTGCTGGTGATTAGGGGGTTGCGGGGGGAGGCGAGGCTGGGGCAACGGCACGTGTGCCCACAGAGAGGGCTCCGAGTGCCGCCTCTGGCACACATGCCATAGGTTTGCCACCACTGCTCTATGCCATTTCAGACAAATGGCTGTCCAATCTCTTGAAAAATCTCCAGTGATGGACTTTTCTATGTTTTTTCCTTGCAGACGTTTCACTTCTCATCCAAGAAGCTTAAGAATAATAATAATCATCAAAAAGTTGGAAGGGACCTCGGAGGTCATCTAGTCCAACCCCCTGCTCAGTACAGGGATAGGCAACCTTGGCCCTTTAATGACTTGTGGACTTCAACTCCCAGAATTCCTGAGGCAGCCATGCTGAGGGGAAAGGGAGAGGTTTCCAAGCTGAGCCATGCTGGCTCAGGAATTCTGGGAGTTGAAGTCCACCAGTCATAAAAGAGCCAAGGTTGCCTACCCCTGCCCTATACCGTTTCAGACAAATGGCTGTCCAGTCTCTTCTTAAAAACTTCCAGTGTTGGAGCATTCAGTTCTGACTGAATGGTGGAGAATGGAAGGATATATATTCACTCCTTGCAGTCCTTCCTTTCTCCTTCCATCCTCCACCATTCGGTCAGAACGGAAGAAGCTTCTTGGATGAGAAGCGAAACGTCTTCAAGGAGAAACAAGGAAAAGTCCACTTGCTTTTGGCTAAAGCACCTTTGGGGCATCCATGACCTGGATGACTGAGAATCTCCATAA